GTTCGGAAATCGTTGAAAAAGAGCGTAAAAAAAGAGCAAAAAAGCCAGTTGAATATGCGACTCGAAAATTGTCAAGGCGAGCGAGGCATTATGATGGGAAAAAACGAATCTATTCCCTAGCCACTTCACTATTTAAGCCTTGTAACAGTGCTACATCAAGTTGCACTCATGCGCGTCGGTGATGGACATGAGTTTATACGCCGCCGATTCCACAAGATGTCTGTCTATAGTCACTTATAGGATTTGCACCGTCAGCTAAACAAGGAAAATTCGTTTGAAAGTGGAAGCATTAATTAGACCAGACTGGCGTGTTTGAATCGATGGTTTGAGTCATTTGGGATCCCTGCAACGGGTTATGAATGGACATATTTGGGTCTGAGAAAAGGCACTTTCAGCAGTAAAAAAGGGCACTGTCGAAAATTAGGGGGGGGGGGCGCCCCTCGCGCCCCCCTTGAATCCGCCTCTGGCATTTAATTCTAAGTTACAATGTATGTTCAATAATAGTATCATTGTATAACGTTGGTGTTATGTTGGCAGGATTATAAAATATCCAAGGACAACCGATTAACAACATGTCTGCTATGTCACTACATGGTGGGAGCAGACGTTAAATAAAGTTATTCCACATACAACGCACGCATACACAAAAACTATGCACAGCTGCGATATCACTACATGGTGGGAGCGGGCGTTACATAAAGTTATTCTATACTCAAACGCACTCACATGCACACTCAAATCGCCATGACTGGAACTTAGAGAATATTTTGAAGTTGTTGAATTATTATTACAACAAAACGGTTCAGAAGTTGGAATCTCTCTTCATATCGTGTTCAGACTGAGTTGCATATAATTTCAACTGTATTTTATAATCTCGGTCATGTACAGTAACTAACAGCAGTGCCAAAAAATATTGTTTGGAATGAGCAGACCAAAATTCAGCAAACACTAAAAAGGTCTACTGACCACGAAGACTTTAGCCTGTTTTTCAACTGGGACTTGAAATCTATGAGGCATTGATTTGCAGTCATTCATGTTTTCGTAAAAAGAATCCTGATTATTTTGATATTGTTTTATTTTACAAAATCAATTTAAACAGACTGCTTTACTTTAGTGCGGGGGTGTTAGTCTAACTGTAGAATACTGGTCCCGGGTTAGGATTCTGGAACAGGCGGGGTACAGCCTGAAATGGGAAGTCGGCATTGAACTAAAACCTAGACCCATCGGTCTAAAGACTAGCGTTAACGCAAAATAATCCTTGGTAAATATAATACTATAAAAAGCAGGTGGAAACACCCCTGTCCCTACTCCCCCTCCACATTGCGAACGTGACCGATGGAATGAAAAATTTTATGTCACAAACTGACCGACCTCCTGTGTTGATGTTGGCTCGCTGATCTGGAGGTCCCGTGTTCGATCCCTGTGTCGGTCAAGAGAGTTCATCAGGATTTTTCGGCATGGTCCCCCGTTGTCAGCGGTGCAGAACCGGGGAACTGACAAGAGACAACGTATAGTCTTTCGGAAGGGACTAAACACCGGGGTCCCGTTTACACATTGGCATGTACGTAAAAGAACACTTGGCAGTTGGATTTCGATATAAGGGTAGGCCATAGTGCCGCTGTCCGGGCAAATTTCCCTCATAGCATACTGTATGGCGTATGCCCGTCTTCGTTAGCCCAGTCGGGGCAGAAGAGTAGGACGTTAAACCCCATTTCATTCCATTCTTTAACCCCCGTAAAACATCCGACGTTATTTATATTCGCATCTGGTTTAAGAAAACAGGGGATATAATACAATCGTTCACCGAAAGTCACCCATCCACTTCAATGACAACAGATAATGTGGATTTATTCGAGTTAGAAGTTGAATGGATGATTTTATCCATTCACAGAAAAATGAATTTCATAAATATTCATGATTATCAGCTGTACGGCCATAGTTGTCATCTGTAATTTTATTTATCGACAGCTAAAAATATCTCACAATCTATTTTCTATTCTGTGAGAGCGATTGGGAGATGCGTGGTGGTGGTAGGGTGGTTGTTGGTTGAGGGTGGGGTCCAAATGTATATTCTGCTAATTGTATTAAGCATGTTGAAAATACTATCTGCAAGTAAATAATTCCTTAATAATTTTAACGTGAACTATAATATTCGATAGGATTATTTGAAACGATACACAGGGTACAGCCAGTGTTTTTGATTAAATTTTGTTCCTTATATCTGTGACGACTTTTCAGTGAGAAAGATGGATTAATAAAATAAATGAAATAGAGTTTAACGTCCTACTGTTCTGTATCGACTGGGTTTATGAATACGACGGGCATACGTCATTGTGCTATGATGCAAATTTTGCCAGGACAGCGGCTCTACGTTCTACCCTTATTTCGAATTCCAACTGTCAACCGTTATTTAACGTGCACACTAATGTGTAAAAGCTACCTCGGTTTTCGTCCCATCCGAACAACTATACGTGGTCCTTGCCAAGAACAAAATCCTGCACCTCTGACACGGGGGAACCACACCGGAAAATCACGATGAACATTCTGTGCCAACGACGGGACTGAAAACGGGTAAAATGGCTTCTGTATACAAAAGTCCACTGTGCTTAACACGAGCGGTTCCACACCTTGATGTTATACATAAAATTAAGCCTTTAAATACTTACTTCCACACGCGGAATCATAGTTATCATACGCTGTCTTGACTCAACAAATACCTTCTCGAAGTATGTAATAAAATCTAATCGGGTGGATATGTAGTGGTGGTGGGCGGGGTGGGGGTGGGGGGGCCAAATGTATATTCTGCTAATTGTATTAAGCATGCTGAAAATACTATCTGCAAGTAAATAATGCCTTAATTATTTTAACCTGAACTATAATATTCGATAGGATTATTTGAAACGGTACACAGGGTACAACCAGTGTTTTTGATTAAATGTTGTTCCTTATATACTCAGCCAAATTAAAAACTTGACACTGATGAATTTCAACAAATTTCAAATAAATTTTAAAGTGTTTCTAACGATAGTAAGTAGTAAGAAGCCTTTAATTTCATAAAATTGTAAAGTCACGTGGATCACATGACTTTTGAGCATATAAAGATGAAAAACCTGAAAAACACGTGCAAACACAAACTCGTGAGGTCAATCGATGCAAGTTTGCTTAAACCGAACACGCACACGTAACTTGAACTGAAAAAACAAATTAAAATTGTCATTTTCATCTTTGTTAGAAAATGCCCCGCCTTTCAAATGTAGAACGTCTACGTGCTATAGGTAGGCTCTATGCTGGTCAGTCTGTGGTCACTGTTGCAAGAGCCTTTAATTGTTCACGCCAGACAATAATTAGTCTTAGAATGAGAGTGCTTCAAACTGGAACTATTGCCGACCGCCCAAGGGCGGGAGCGCCACGTGTGACGTCACTCCAGGAAGATCAAGCAATACGATTACGTCATCTTAGAAACAGATTTGTCACTGCAACCTCCACAAGTAGAAAGATGTTTGGTGGAAGGGTAACTGCACAAACTGTTCGAAATCGCTTGCAGGCTGCTGGTCTTCGAGCTCGAAGGCCCTATAATGGACCAATATTGACACCTCTTCATCGCCGTAACCGACTTGTGTGGGCCACAAGACACATAAGATTTACTCGAAGACTGTGGAATTCGGTTGTCTTTAGTGACGAATCTCGATTCACTTTGAGATTTGCCGATGGCAAGGTCCGAGTGTACCGCAGACGAGGTTAACGTTACGCTCAAGTATGCGTCACAGAAGTTGACCGATTTGGTGGCGGCAGCGTCATGGTTTGGGGTTCTTTTTGTGCACATGGACGTTCTCCTCTTGTTGTTGTCCAAGGGAACTTAAATGCTGTCCAGTACAGGGATCAGATTTTGCAACCTGTTCTTCTCCCGTTTATGCAGAGACATGGGCCTGGACTAACGTTTCAACAAGACAATGCTCGACCCCATACAGCAATTGCTACCCAGAATGTTTTAAGAAATGCCGGTGTCCAAGTCCTGGATTGGCCGTCGCTTAGCCCCGACCTTAATCCTATTGAACACATCTGGGACGAACTGGGTCGACGTGTTCGTCAGCAAGTGAATCCACCACTGACGTTGCAGGACCTTCAACATGCTCTTGCTGAGCAGTGGCGACGTCTTCCTCGGGTAGTGTTTACTAATGTTCTGAGATCCATGAGAAGACGTTACTAAACACTTTATTCCGATTGTTCTCCAAGTCTGTGAATTTCATTTTGGGGGGTACTGTGACATCACGAACGTTATCAGTGTCAAGGACTTTCGGCGAGACGTATTCTTGCTTTCTGTTGATGTCAAGGTCGTATGTGCACAACATAACACTAAAATAGTTGCCTTAAACCAAATATTAAAAATCTAGTCCCAAAAATCCCGAGTGTCAAGTTTTTAATTTGGCTGACTATATCTGTGACGACTTTTCAGTGAGAAAGATGGATTAATAAAGGAAATGAAATAGGGTTTAACGTCCTACGGTTCTGTACCGACTGGGCTTATGAAGACGACGGACATACGTCATTGCTGTGTGCTATGAGGCAAATTTTGCCAGGACAGCGGCTCTACGGCCTACCCTTATTTCTAATTCAAACTGTAATGAAACGTAATGAAAGTATGGTTCTCATGTACTTAGTATGAAGTACATCGGAATTAGGTCCGGGGTTCGAGCTTGGTGTTGACCGAGAAGGTTTCTCGCGATTTACAGTTTGGTTTCCCCTTATCAGTGGTGTAGAAGTGGCGGGGGGATTGGGTCTAGCAAGGAACAGATAGATGGCATGGGAAATCTTGGCGTAAACGTAAAAGAATCATTGACAGTTGAAATTCGATGAAGAGTAGCAGGAAACCCCATATCAATTATAGAAATGAGCTACGTTCAATCTGTCGCAGTATAATATGTTTATATTTAGAAAGTGAGTCATCTACTAGACACAGTCAGCTTGCTGATTATACAACCGCTGCTTTCTCGGTGAATTTTGTTAAAATTGCAAATTTGTGTGTTTTACTGCTGTGGCTTTGCAACCACCGCGATAAGCTTAATCCTAATTCTTGAAGATCATTCTATATGCAAAGTGTCTGTAGTATAATAGGTGAATTCAACGTACATATTGTGATATTTAATTGGTAGTTTTACCATTACAAAAGCTGCAGGCGTGTGAACAGTGAAAGCTGTGGATTGGCTAATACGACAGGTATAAATGAACGACTGAGCGCAGCGTGAACCATTGCTGTATTGGCAAACGTTAACACCACAGTTTTCAGTATTAATTAAGTTGGGAGTTATATCGATATATATTGTATATAGGTCATGATGAAGTCTCTGTTGGTCATTTTTGCTTTAGCTGGTGAGTACATTAAACTTTTGTTACAGCGGTTGTGTTCTTCAAACTATTCACATCTAAATCTGACATTTGTGTTTCATCCTACGTAGTCAATTTTTCCGTTCCAGGATTAGTACCCGGTGTTTAACATGTGTTTTGGGTCTTTGACATAAATCAAAACGACAAAGATATTAGTCAAACGGCAAATGGAACAAACATGGAACTTTAATAGAAAACATTCATATACTATACTAGTGATTTAGGTCGATGCACAGAAATTCCATTCATATTGGTGGCTAGAACGAGTCTGGTGCAGGACGGAGAGCCCGACTAGGGACGAGAAGCATCAAATTGGAGGATTTACTACTCAACTTGAGCAGCTCAACTTGGGTACAGAAAAATGGGGCACCACTATAAATGGCAAAAACATCCTTTTTATAGCCATTAGTAATCATTATAGCAATGAAGAGGTTAATGATATTTTATTTTAAATCCTGGAATAAAAAAAAATATTTTCATTTGGAAAGATAAAAACATATTTTACGCTTTAGGATCGTGTTTGGTTTTCCGGCCCAGGTCAGCAATATATAAAAGTAGCCTACATGTAGAGATGCTTGCGGTTCATGCTTTAATAGTTCAAAACCTTATAATGAAAAATGAATATATATTGAAAATTTCAGTCAAATTACTCGTTTCTGAGCCAAGTTATCAGAATTTGAACAGTTCACAATAATAGCCACAATTGTGAAGTACCACTTTTATAGATAAAGTCTCAATAATCCATTTTTATAATACCACATTTTTATGTGGACGTATATTGTCGTATCCCCTGTTCTTCCGTCCACAGTCTACGGGTCAAAGTTTTTATCCGATTTTGATGAAACATAAAATATAGGTTTATCTCCCAAAGATCTTGATTCCTTTCGTTATTGGCATTTATCGGGCCGTAACTTCATGAATTATGGCCCTTGATTGTTCGAAAAGTCACGTTTTTAGCTTGTGAACACTCTAGAGTTCGCAATCTTTATCCGATTAAGATGAAACTTGGAATGTATATTTTATAACCCAAAGATCTCGGTTTCTTTCGATTTTTGCGTATATCGGACTGTAGCTTCCTAGATTATGACCCCTAATTGTACGACAAATTGCGTTTTTAACGTGTGGTCCCTCTAAAGGTCACAATTTTTATCCGATTTTTTCGAATATAACACGGTTACATCATAATGACGGTTGAGTTCGAATTTCGTGAACATCGGACCGAAACTGCTATGATTGAAATTTTGTCCGGGCAGCGGCACCATGGCCTACTCTTATATAGAATTATAACTGCCAACCGCACGCCAATGTATTCACGGGACCTGCACCACTGACAAGGAGAAAACCACGCCGGAAAATCCCGATGAACTTTTTCGGCCAATGACGGGATCGTACCGTGGCTCCCCCGCTCCATGTACGTAAATGGTGTTAAGAGTGAGTATGAAATATCAAGGTTTTGGACCCTCTTAAGGTCAACTTAAGATACATGTTTATATCCCAAAGATCGCGATTCCTGTGGATATTCACGCACATTGGGCCGTAATTTCCTGGATTATGGCTACTGAATGTATTAAAAATAATGTTTTTAGCATAAATTTATCACCGTAAAATCGGGCCGATATTGTCCGAAAAAATGGCAGCTCCCCGTACGAAAATAGGTTGTGGACCCTGTAGAAATCACATCTTTTATCCGATTTCCACGAAACTTAAAATATATGTTTATATCCCAAAGGTCTGGGTTCTTTTTGATACTTGCGCGTATCCGATCGTAGCTTCTTGGAAGAAATCCCCTGATTTTTCGTAAAATCGCTTATTTGTTTTAGCTCGTTCTCTGTCCATCTCTTGCAAAATATGGGTGTATCTTGCCTCGTAATCGCTGGTTAAACTAAATATTAAAGAATTGTTTTGATAAAATGTGCTTCAAGTGAAAAAAAAACCCAACCCAAACATTTTTAGCACTATTTATTAAGTCTTACGTCAACAAATCTAGCCAACTTCTTATCCAAGGTGTATGGTGTTCTCTTAGGACTCTTTACAGTTCTCTAGGGGGTCCAAGAAGGCCTCGTAGAACGCTGCGTGTTTTACTTCTACGCGGTTAGCAAGCCAGTCTCTTACTCACTGAGCCTCCCCAGCTCCAAATCTCGATGAACATTCTTGCCAAAGCCGGGACATCCACTTTGGCGAGACAATGTCTTAGTCACGGTGTAATTGGTTAGCGCGTGATAAAATAAAAGGTGGCTCTACATACGAAAACAATGTTGTTAAAGGACAATATTGGTGCCAGTCATTATCACATTATGTGATAGAACTGGTTAAACACGTTCCAAATATAATTTTAACACAGAGATCATTGCTACGATAGCTGAGTAATACAGGTTTCCCGAGTCGGAAGTGACGAACGCCAAAGGAAAACACGAGTCATCTCTCTATATAACTGACTGATGTGACGAGTGATAACGGATATACGGCTGAATTTCTGCCCACTAATAATTCCTTCGAAGACCAAAAGTTGATATATGGGACTGTAAGAGGATACCTGACAATTCAATAAAGTAATTGAATGTCATTAGATATAAGAACACGAGAAAAATAGAAATAGTCCGTACATTCCCTTGTTTATATTCATTCTATATCTTATAAAAACATGGTAATGCACGGACTTTTTCTGTTTTTCTTTCGTGTTCACTTATATAGTTGCAGTCAATTCTTTTTATGAATTGTCAGATATCCTCTCACAATCTCATACAACAACTTTTGGTCTTCGAATGAATTATTAGTGAGCAGAAATTCGCCCGTATATCCGTTATCACTCGTCACATCAGTCAGTTATATAAAGAGATGACTCGTGTTTTCCTTTGGCGTTCGTCACTTCCGATTCTGGAAAACTGTATTACTCAGCTATCGTAGCAATGATCTCCGTGTTAAAATTATATTTGGAATGTGCTTAACCAGTTCTATCACATATGTGATAATGACTGGCACCAATATTGTCCTTTAAAAGCCTAATCAATGAAATGGGGTTTTACGTCTTAGAGTAATCAATGATATATTTCTCACCATGTTGCAATGTAGGACATCTGACAACTGTTGAACAACGTCACCGGATTTCTATCGAATGTCTTTGAGAGAATAGATTTCTACGGAAGCGTATTAGGGCCAAGTAAATAATCGAATAATTATGTCCTAAATAAGAGATACTACGTCCTAACACAATAACTCCAAATTATAAGATAGTAACTCCTGATTAGGTGAAAGTAAGTCCTGGTTAGAAGGTAGTAATTCCTGATTAGGATTTAGTATCTCCCAATTAGGACTTAGGACTTAATAAATAAATAGAATAGACACGCAAAGCAGCCATAAATAGAATAGACACGCAAAGCAGCCATGTTTCGAAAAAATAACAGCTACAGACATCAGCTTATTCGGCAAGGGTCCTTGTGCTTTCCAGATAACTAATATCTTTCGTGTTCACACCTTTAAAAAACTGTTAAAACAATAACCTCTATCCCGTGTATAGGTTTTCCAGATAACTAATATCTTTCGTGTTCACAGCTTTAAAAAAAACTTTTAAAACTATAATCTCCATCTCGTTTGCAGGTTTTCGGGAAGGGGAGGGAACTCTCGTCAATACTTTAAACAAATTTTTAAAAAAATAAGTCATAAACTGTAGCCTCTACAGGGGATGTAACTCTGAAAAGGAGTGTTGCAGTTCGCTGAATATCGCTCGAGTTTGATTTCTCAGGAACCCAATGATTCAAACCAAATTGGAAAAAAATCCGATAAAAAGGGTTAACTAGGTTTACGAATTAATTACATTTTTAAAATAATGTATTAAAACATCGGGATAAAATGTTAAAATTATATATTTTCTAAATTTACAATATTATATAACTATTGAATAAATATGAACGAAAAATGCTTTTCATTTAGTTCAACCGTTTTTATCCTCCATTGACTCCCGGCTAGAACATTTCGATTTCGGGTTTGACGTGGGTCGAGAAGAACCATCTCAATTTCTGGAGATGGTTATATCTTGCCTTGTCGAACGAGTACATACTTTGGCGTACATGTAAAAGTCTTGTCTGTTGGAATTGGAGGAAGATTTGGGGAAAACTCAAATTGCCTCTTGTAACCTGTCAAACTTATTATCAAACTCAAACGGTTAAAGATTACATAGGGTGAAATCAAATTAAACAAATGATAAATATGTCACACTGAATGCCACAACTTATTGTTAGATTCTAATGTAAATATTACAGAAATGCTTAGATTTGCAATTGTTCTTCTAGTTTTCAGCTTTATAAATGTGACGAATGGTCAGTGTAAACCAGAAAAGGGCGAAGCATGTAAAAATGGTTTCTCTAATGCGAACGCAACTACCGACCCCGACAAATGCACGTAAGTATCTTCGATAAAATTGAAAGAAAATACAGAACAATTAATAAATAAATTACACCAAATAATAAGTTAAACATCAAATTGTTGGGTCTAGAGTATCAACTTGTGTTATGTTCTGTGTTTAATCACGACTGACGGGTGGTTAGAAAGGCGGGCAATAGAGTTCTTGCATAGTCGATTGGCGTTTGTTACTTTGTGTAACTGAATATTGACATCACCAAAGTGAATCATTTTTATCTTGTGGACACTCTTGAGGGGTCAGGTACAAAACTCGGAAAGCTCGGAAAACTCGGAAAATATTTTCCAAGTTTTATGAATTGACTCGATTGAAAACACAAAACTCGTAAAAAATTGTCTGACTTTTCAGTTTGAAACAAAAAGTCGGACAATTTTTTCCGACCTTTCCTAGTTTTGTGTTTTCAATCGAGTCAAATCATAAAACTCGGAAAGGGGAAAAGTTGGAAAAGTATCAAAATATATATTTTTTTAAATTGGCGAAAGGAGATGTACTCAGATTTCTATTTGATAAGTTAGACATGATCTATGTAACTAATTCTTTCAAATTTAACGAATGCAATGTGTTAGTTATAGGTGAATACCCGAGTTTTCCAAGTTTTGTATTTTAGCCTATACGAAAAGACCCTAAAAGATATAAAAATATAATATTTGTCATTTCTCCTTATGGGGATAACTTGATATTTAGTGGAATCATTTATTTTTTGCTTAAAGACAGACATTCAACGAAGGCTAACTTTTAAAAAATAGCGAAAAAAGTAAAAATAACACATATGTTTAATAAGTTGGACATGATATATTTTATTTTTTGTGATATTTATAACTGAATATCCGAGTTTTGTATTTTGGGCTATACGAAAATACAAAACTCGGAAAACTCGGAAAGTGGCAAAAAGATATCAAAATAAAATATTTTTCATTGGATATGATTATTATACAGCGGATTTCTCCTTAACGAGAATAACTTGATATTTAGTGTAGCCTACTCAAGTTTTTGTTGCATCGAGACAGACATCACAGGCAGTACTACGTGTAGAGAATATCTAATTGGATAATTAAGTGATAGTAACACATTTATTTAATAATTTGGACATGATCTATAACCTTTTCAGTTAGATTTTAACCAAAATAATGCAATATGGCAGTTATAATTAAATATCCGAGTTTTGTATTTTGGGCTATACGAAAATACAAAACTCGGAAAGTGGCAAAAAGATATCAAAATAAACTATTTTTCATTGGATAATTATGATTATTATACAGCGGATTTCTCCTTAACGGGAATAACTTGATATTTAGTGTAGCCCACTCAAGTTTTTGTTGCATCGAGACAGACATCACAGGCAGTAAGCCTACTACATGTCGAGAATATCTAATTGGATAATTAAGTGATAGTAACACATCTATTTAATAATTTGGACATGATCTATAACCTTTTCAGTTCGATTTTAACCAAAATAATGCAATATGGCAGTTATAATTAAATATCCGAGTTTTCCGAGTTTTGTATTTTGGCCTATACGAAAAGATTATGTCCAACTTATTAAATAGATGTATTACTACAACTACTTTCGCCAATTTAAAAAAAATAATATTTTTGATAATTTTCCAACTTTTTCTCTTTCCGAGTTTTATGATTTGACTCGATTGAAAACACAAAACTCGGAAAGGTCGGATAGAAAACAAAAAGTCGGACAATTTTTTCCGAGTTTTGTGTTTTCAATCGAGTCAATTCATAAAACTCGGAGAGGGGAAAAGTCTGAAAATATTTTCCAAGTTTTGTACCTGACCCTCTTAAGGTCACAGTTTTGATGAAACTAGAAATGCATGTTTATAACCCAAAGATCTTTGTTCCTTTCGATATTCGCGCATATCGAATTGTAGCTTTCTGAATTATAGCCCCTGATTATACGAAAAATCACGTTTTTAGCTTATGGTCCCTCTAGAGGTCACAATTTTTATCCAATTTAATAAAAAAAAACGTTTTGGTATATCACCGTTACACCCTACTGATGGTTGAGTTCGATTTTTGTGAATCGGACCAAAACTGCCGGACAAAATGGCTGCCCCTTGTTCTCAAATTGTGTAAAGATATGGTATATCAAGGTTGTGGACCCTCTAGAGGTCACAATTTTCATCCGATTTTGATGAACCTTGGAGTGCATGTTTATGCCCCAAAGATCTTGGTTCCTTTCGATATTCGCGCATATCGGATCGTACCTTCCTGAATTATGGCCCCTAATTGTAGGAAGAATCGCGCTTTTAACTTGTGGTCCTTCTAGAGGTCACAATTTTTATCCGATTTAAAATAAACGTTTTAGTATATCACCGTTACACCCTAATGATGGTTTAGTTCGAATTTTGTGAAAATCGTACCAAAATGTCGAACAAAATGGCCGCCCCTTGTACGCATATCGAATATGCGCATATCGAATCGTAACTTCCTGAATTATTGCCCTTGATTGTACGAAAAATCGCGTTTTGAGCCTGTGGTCCCTATGGAGGTCACAATTTTTATCCGATTAAAAAAAACATGTGAATACATCACAGTTATACACTAATGATGGTTGAGTTCGAATTTCGTGAAAATCGGACTATTGTACGCAAATAGTGTAAAAATTATGGTATATCAAGGTTGTTGACCCTCCAGAGGCTACATTTTTTATCCGATTTGGATGGAACTTTAAATATATGTGTTTATCATAAAGATCTTGGTTCGTTTTGATAATCACACATCCGAACGTAACTTCCTGGATTATGGCCCCTGGTTGATCGAAAAATAGCATTTTTAGCTTGTGGATTCTCTAGAGGTCACAATTTTTTTCCGATTTTAAAAACCGTTTAGATACATCATCATTCCACCATAATGAAGGTTGAATTCAAATTTCGGGAAAATTGAAATGAAACTGCCCGACAAAATGGCCGCTCTTTATACGCAAATTGTGTATAAGTATGTAATACAAAGGTTATGGCCTCTAGAGATAACAATTTTTATCTGATTTTGAGATGAAACTTAAAACATATCTTTATATTCCAAAAATCTCAGCCCCTTTTGACATTTGCACATTTCAGACCATAACTTTCTGCATTATGGCCCCAGATTGTACAAAAAAAATCGTTTTTGTTTTTAGCTTGTTCCCTGTCCATCTCTTGCAAAATGTGGGCGTATCCTGCCTGACAGCCACTGGTGAATTCAGCAAAAGTCTCTTTCCACAAACATTTAGGCCTTACGTTTCAGAATAACGGCAAGTGGGATGTCCACATAGGAAATTTATGCAAAAATGTACCAAAACTCGTAAACTGCTTCAGGTCTCTGAAATATCGCTTGAAACGTAGATCCGTACTGTCGTATCTATAATGCTTACATTCTGCCTCATTTCGACTACGCGGATATCGTTTGGGATGGGTGTTCGGAACTACTAACAAATCAACTTGAGCACCCAGTGATTACGTTTCTAGTGTAAGGAAAGATTTGTAATATAAGAATCTTCAATGAAAAAAATGGAATTAAACAGTTAGAAGGTTAAATGGATCCATGTGATTTAAAGCGTCGACACATGGATCCAAAATTTTCACAGTCTACAACAGAATACAATACAGAACAGCTGTATTCATCCGCAAAAAAAATAGTACCTAAAATTCATGTACATTATATAGGTTTAAACGTCAAATGAGGTCAAATGAATAGAGACGTCTTTAATATATACTAAATATTCGTATCATCCCAAATCGACAATAAAACAGTGAGAAAAAGGAAAATCTAAGTAATGGCAATCTAATTAACATAAAATTTACGACATAATGGATTCTTCAATGTTTTGATGGTGATCATGAAGAAAATAGGCCTACATCTGTTCTCAGGAATCCTATAAGATTTTCAAAAAAAAGATCAGTAGAATTATAGATTGTTATTCCACAAAGTCGAAAGGTTTGTTAGATTTTTCATTCAGTCAAGTTAGAGCGAGTTTATTGCCGTACTTTGAGCTCCAAACCCGATAGAAATGAAGGCGGAAGTGGCCATAATAGTTTTAGAGATCACTACGTGATGGCGCTTCTGCGTCGCGACAAACGGGGCCGATTTGTCTAGAACATGACGCACTACGCACAATCTGCGGAGGCGTTAAAGGTACGAACCACGATTCTCTTCACAGGGAGACCGGTTTCATTCCTCTAAAAGAACGTCGACGAAGACATAAACTTATTCTTGTCTATAAAATTTTCAACAACACTTTACCCAATTATCTTTCTACACTTTTTCCACCTTCTTGAAAATCTTCGTACAATTTTAGAAATATAAACGACTTCACTAAATATCGGTGTAGAACGAAAATATTTTCCAACTCATTTGTACCATCGTGCAATAAAGGAATGGAACCGGTTAGACCAGTCAACAAAAGTTCAATAAGTCTCTTTTCTTTTAAACAAAAGCTCCCCGAACAAGACTCCAAACCCCCAAAACATTTCTACATTGGTTCTAGAAAAACTGAAATTATCCACAGCAAACTACGACTTTCATGCAGTGACTTAAATGGGCATTTGCTGCTTAGGGTAGGCAGAGATAAGCAATTTGATTGGTTGATACTTTGGGACACGATAACTTTAGTTCTAATTAAGTGAGAGTGATGAAACTTGGTGTATAGTTTTATTATATTAATACCTTGACTAAGTGCGAGGGGTAAGCAATTTGATTGGCCGAGACTTTGGAACACAATAAATTTCCTTCTAATCGAGGTAGAATGTTCAAACTTGATGTAGACGTTCATTAGCTGAATACCTTTTTGTAGTTCGATGATAAACATTGTCTGCTTACGGTATAGAGTAAGCAATTTGATGGGTTGATACTTTGGGGTACGATAACTTGGTTATAATTAAGTGAGAGTGATGAAACTCCGAGTATAGATTAATTACATAATCACCTTGATTAAGTTCGATGATGAGATTTTTCTGCTTAGGCTAAAGAGCGATAAGCAATTTGATTGGTCAAGACTTTGCAACATAACAACTCTGCTTTTATTTGAGATAGAATGTTTAAACTTGATGTAGATGTTCATTAGGTGAATGTCTTGACGGAGTTCAATGATTAACATTTCGAGCTAAAGCTAAGCAGAGCTAAGCAGTTTCATTGGTCGATGCTTTAGGACACGATAACTTTGATTCTATCTGATAAAGACTGATGAAACTTAGTGTATAGTTGATAATCAGTTTGATTGCTTGATACTTTTTAAAAAATAAATATGCGATTAATTGACATGTGTCATCTATTTATTTTGGGATTTCGGCGGGGGACATCAGTCTAATTGTTGACTTGTCTAACCTTTGTTTACTCTAGTCTAATATTCTAAAGATGATTTTTAATATTTCAGAGCTGCATATACCTATGGTAAATGTTTAATTGATGAAATGTGTTATAACGATGACACCCAGAAAACTGATTTCAATAAAACAGTAACCTCTGGTCTCATGTGTGGCAGTAAGTAAAATTGACTGAATGATAGAAGTAAAGAAAATTCGATGCGGAGGCTATTATAGTAAATAATTATATGTAGAGCTGCATGGACAGTGATAAATAAAAAAAAGCTTCCATTATATAAATACATCTTCCTGTATATGAAATATTAAGGTTGACGATTTAACAAATATTATGTTCTCATTTAAATCCTGTGTGCAAGCCAATGATCCTAACAATCTTGTGTCAGATGGGTCATTCCATATCAACTAGACCATTGGTGGGTACATGACTCCCTCCAAAAAACATTATAAAAAATATATGTTATAGTATATGGCCTTAAACTAACAAATCCGAAATTCTACCTCATTAGGCCAAAAACTCGCTGAGATATGGCCATTTGAAATTAGGGTGCTGAAACGGACCATAATACCAGTAAAAAAATGTTCAGGCTTTCAGGCGCGTTTAACTCACATTTTTAATAGGAGTAGAAACTCTCTATTTTTGTGTTCTAAGACAACGTTTTGGTGTAGATTACGAAATTAACATTACGCTCAATGTCCAATGCATACTTTTCGTGTCACCAGGTGGCAAAATGAGGAACTATTCACTTTTATTTTGAGGATTTCCACAGCCTCTGGCAAAGTCACTATTGCATACACAAACTTCAAAATTGACATGGTTAATGTCAGTTTGTCTTTTATCAATTTACAAAATACTCTGAGTCAATGGGATATATACTTTTCCAAATATTAATTAGACATTAACTCATCCAGGCCATAATCAACCCTCGATGCCATCGCTAAACTGCGATATTTACTGGATTGGGACCCGATCTGCTGTTCTACGCTCATTCATGATTAAATCAAGAAATATATAATCGAGCCTTTGTATTTTATAGCCCAAAATTCAATCGCTAAATTATCGGTTCAGAGTGGATCAATTTTTCTGAAATTTTCGGCAAATTCCCTTTACATTATCTAGCTTTTAACTATTATAATGAGAACTGTCAGGTCTCTATCTAATCTACCATAATGTATCTTTAAGGCCGTATAATATAACATATATTTTTCATAATTTTTTTCTAGGGGGTCATGTCACCAACTGTCCGTAATTTGGTCCATACTTGACATGGAATGACCCAGATGGTCGTCGCGGGACTAAGGGGTCCTTGGTGAATACGCGATGGCTTTAGAGTACAAACAAGTAATAATAGTCTTTGTGGAATCGACAAATGGTCAGAACGTCGCCTTTCTATCTGTATTGTTGTATACCCACATTTCGAAGATGCCCCCCCCACCCGTCCCTCATAACCGTCGCACATCGATGAACCAATTCTATTAAAGCCAAGTGACTCATTGCAAAAAAGATACAAACTAAGGGCGGTAAATAAACCCATGGTGGTAAATAGATTTGATATCGTCTGTTACAAATTTAATTGAGTAGCACAGAATGCAGGCAACACCCGAATATAAATAGGCGTGCACTCACAGGACTAAAATCAATTGCGTATCTATAGTCATGTATTCACAAATCGGGAGAGACTCTTAGGAACTATTTCGGGGTATCTATAACATATGTTATTCTATTTCAGGTGGTGAAGCAAAATGTACAGTAACAACCGGACTAGCATGTTTTACCAATTTGTGCAGGTTAGTACTGTTTTGACATATTTATTATTGAGAGACACAAGTGTAGGCTGGGCCCATGTTATGATCTTTGTTAGAATCTAGTGTGACATCTTACTTATCTTCAGAATGCTGCTTGTTTGGGTATATTCGTTGGTTCTTCACGTGGTGTTTTATACTCGAAGTATGTTCTGCCCCGACTGGGCTAATGAAGACGGGCATACGCTATACAGTGTGCTATGAAGAAAATATTGCCTGTACACGCCAATGTGTACGCTGTCCCTTGTCAGGCCCTCTGTCCCGCACCACTGACAAAGGGGATCCACGCTGGAAAGTCCCGATGAATTTTCTCGGCCAACACAGTGATCGAACACGGGGCCTCCAGGTTAGTGAGCCAACATATTACTCACTTAGCCACCGTGACTCCCACGCACGACTTTTTTAGATACGGCACTGACCATTAAAGTGTGTCTAATAGTTCTACAGGAACCAAACACGGTGTACACATTGACATTTACATATATTGACAACTGGAATCTGAGAAAAAATAGACAGAAACGTAGACAACAGTGTAAAATCACCCTTCGCAATACATAACAATAATAATAACACGTCTCCAGTACATGCTGTGTTGTCGTAGACCACCTACGACTCCTAGATCAGATTTGTTCACATGAAGTTCAACGGCCACACAGCGATCGGTAATGCACCTTTAATATGGGGCAAATAAAACCAAGTTTCAGTTCTTCTCCTAAACCACTTGATTGTAAGACAGGAATGTTCTTTAAATGATGCTTATTAATTCAACTGTTAATCTCTATTCTTATTTGGTATATAAATTGCCTTTCTGTTGTTTATTGATTGTCCAGAATTCGTCAGCTGGACTGTGCATTGGACCTCTGGTTAGGGTCGGTTGTGCTTGATGTTTTATATTCATGTGTGTGTACACGGAGTTGCGTGGTGCCAGCAAGCAGAACATGGTTAATTTGAAGGGGTACATGCAAATATGTGTCACATATTCCCCCGAACCGATTGGTACATTTCAACTCTAGCATGTATAAGTATGTTCAAAACCAGTTTCAAGTGACCAAGTAAGGTATCCTAGAATTATCATATGTATTGTAGGAGTTTTGATTTTATAGACCCTGTAGATGATAAAGTTGTGTAGTGGGGAATAGAGGTGGCTGTCGAGCGGGAAATTAACTTTCTGCTATCAAACAATGGTATAGTAACCTATCTTGGTGGGCGATTAAATCCACCTCGTGTCTTGTGTTTAAGTAAGGTTGTTAGGGTAACCATTAATATTATCTTAATGGGTGATTAAAACTACCCCATTGTGTCTTGTATTTATGTAAAGTTGCTAGAGTAACCATTATTACTATCTTGATCGACGATTAAATCCACCTCGTTTTTTTTATTTAAGTAAGGTTGCTAGGATAACCATTAATGTTATCTTGATAGGTGATTAAACCCACTTCTTTTCTTGTATTTGTTAGGATAACCATTAATATTATCCTTATGGGTGATTGAACGCACCTCGTTCTGTGTAAGTAAAATATTTATCTATAATGATTAATACATTTGTTTTGTAGTAATAAGACTAAATTAAAAAACTGTTTGGATGATGCCAAATGCAACGTCGAAAGTTTCAAGACAGCGTATGATGGCTATGATTCCACATGTAGTAGTAAGTATTTTAAAACTAAACACATTATGTAAAACGATTAAGGTAAGGGTGTTGAGCCTTGTCCAGTGGTTGGAGGTGGGCGGCGTAGGGTGGCATATGTTTTCGCAGCAAAACATTGGGACGTTAAACCCCATTTCATTTCGGTATATAAACATTTCACAAGGATTTGACGTTCTGTTGCACAACCAGACCGACTCGCTAACCGTTAGTCTACAGATCCAACAACCTAACCGTTAGTCTACAGATCTAACTAGATAACCGTGTGTTTAAATGTTTACATAATCCAACTAGCTAACAGTGTGTTTACAGATCCAACTAGCTAACAGTTTGTTTACAAAGAGCAATCAACAAGGAATAACGCAATGCTACATTCGTCCATTATAATAATCATAATGTAATACCTCGATCATCTCCTGCTTTACCTGAATCGATCAATGTTTATACAAGGTTATTCTGTCGATTCACAGATTTTATACTACGTGTTCGGTGTATGGAAACTATTCGTAAGGTCATCGACCAGTACACCGCATTTTGTCAGTTTGAGACTTTAAACTCTGGGTATTTTGGTCAGTGGGGGAAATAAACAGACGCATCCCCCCCCCTTCTTTTATCTAGATCAGCTCTGATAATATCACCAACAAAAGTTTATTTTCTAACAGATCCATGTCCGTATTGTAAAAGTATCGCATGCTGTATTTAAGATGAACAACATTCAGTTCTTCCACTGTGTTATTTATATACTAGAACAGTTCACCATTAACACAATAATTCTACTTTCAGATGGATGTGGTACAGTGGCTGTTAGTGTATTGATGATGTTCCTCTCAACTCTACTCATGTTTATCAAAAACTAATAATTATTTTATAACTCTTTACATTCTATTGTTTTATCATTGACCATCAAATTAAAAACAATAAATGTTGAAATTTGTTGGATATGAAATGATGAAATCTAATATTAGTATTTTCTTTTTGTAAAAACTAATTTACGACGACACTGTTATTTTTTGTTACATATGACTAAGATACTGTCACTTTTGATAAAATATAGAAATTATTTATTTGCAAAGATAATATTACACTTTTGATAAAATATAGATAACGTTTGTTTGACAAATTTCGATGTAAAGCGTTAGATTATTTCATCATTGACCATTGTATAAAACAAACAAATTGTTGAAACCTTTGGATATGAGATGATGAGTATATACAGAATATTTCAAAGTATTATCTAATATTAATATTAAATACATGTATATTAGTTTTTAGTCATTGACCATTATATTAAACATCTTGATGAATATTTTGGATATGAGATGATGAGGAAAATTAATATGCTTCAATAATTGCACCATATACAATTCAACCTAGATTTTGATAATAATCTTATGTATCTCTCGCTTTAATAAAAAAAACTGTTTTGGTAAAATGTTTTTTATATGAACTTTAATTTTAGCACTATCCATTAAGCCTTACGCTACAGGTCTTTGGGGGGATTACAGCAGGATCTCCCAGAACGCCGCGTGTTTTAGTTCGGCACGAAGTTGTTCCATCCATGAGATTGCGGCATTGTTTTACGACTTCGCATTTAAATCGTTGACTATACCGATGGCATTCCTTCCAGTGATCACCACCTTACACACTCCTAGGGTGATTTTAGGGCGATACTTGGCAGGCACCAATCAGTCACGAGATACTACCTGATGATGGTTTTGGTTTTGGTGTTGGTGGTGTTAACTCGGTGATTGAAGAGGATCGTGGATGGTTGTCAGTGACTGGGGGCGATGATGGGAGATCAAGTTTCTTTAGATCGTTTGAAACCTTTCAAACAATTGCCCACATTTCTGCATTTTGTCAGAATAGCACAAAAGTGATTTTAATACGGTATCCATCGGTCGATTGAAGAGGATCGTGGATGGTTGTCAGTGATTGGGGACGATGATGGGAGATCAAGTTTCTTTAGATCGTTTGAAACCTTTCAAACAATTGCCCACATTTCTTCATTTTGTCAGAATAGCACAAAAATGATTTTAATACGGTATCCATCGGTCGATTAATCTGTCTTTTAATAAAATACGACGATTGGGCTCCCTTCCCACGCGAGTTTATACAAGTTTGATCACCGTGGTACTGAATTCATCCACTGGCCCAAATCTTATTTTCCGAGCAAATTTCACTGTTGTCGTTCCAACCGAAGATTAATACAGAGAAATGATTTTTTCAAAAACGTCAAGGAATCTAATAAACGTCTATGTCGGTGCCAAATCTCACAAAACAAATATTATGCCTTACAGAAAATTACTGATGGCACTCGATTTCCATGGGAAAGGGAAACAACCCTTGAATAGCTCAAATAACCTTCGATCGAGGTTTTGTAGGATATGAAATACATCAAAATTCATTAGCTTTGTGGGCATTCCAAACAAATACGAAGTTGTATAAAATGTTATGGACTTGGTTGCTGAGTATACCCACCCTCATACACGGCACTCGTCACTAATAATTCACTGCATGCATAAACATAGCAAACTCGATTACCATTAAGTCAGTGAATTCAACTGTTTTGGTTTATCGGCAGCATTACAATTTGACGAGCATACCACCCTCATACACGGCACTCGTCACTAATAATTCACTGCATGCATAAACATAGCAAACACGATTAACATTAAGTCAGTGAAATTCAAGTGTTTTGGTTTATCGTCAGCATTACAATTTGACGAAATTTATTTAGTGTATGTGTGTTTTAAGGACATGTAAAGTAGTGTGTCCCAGACATGGCCCGGGTTACTTGCTTACCCTGTATTCTCTTACATATTAACGACAGTCTTACATGGTAGGTATAATGGTGTTAATAGTAACAAACAAGGAGACAATTCTAACAAAATTCAAATTAAAAAAGTTCTGTAAAGACAGAAATCTTATTGATTTGATCCTTTGATTGCTAATTATATACTTTTGACAATATCTATTTTTTTCACGGCTTAATCCATGCTTAATTAAAAATGCAACAAAGACATATATATAAACGGTATATAATAACCCGACTTGGAATCAGTCGGATTAAAAGGATGCCCATCAAAAGATTTTAGTAAAACTTGCAGGTGGCACTGGCTTTGAAGGCGAAACGATCCTAAGCCAATATACCTCAAACTGTGTTCAAAACAGACATATTTGTAGGTCAAAACTACCAATTAAATATTTGTTATTGAACACTAAATCAATAATATATATTTACAACATTTTGGCCAAAGTCAATTTTGGCTGTTATGATTTATCCTACGCCTGTTTTTACCATATCCTATTTCTATCTTGCTGTGAAACTGACAATTCATGATAACTTCGTAAATATTGAACACAAATATTCCCATTACAGTGTCGACTTTTATTATCGTGTAGTTTGCGATAAATTCAAATTAAAAAAAATGCCGGTCAGTTTTAAGATTCCCACAATTCACAACAAAAAAATCCCAGGCAGACAGTTTGTTTGCATAATATGGCCACGTGATCTACAAAATGAAACTTCGTTTGACATCGTATTATTAGAAGGGTAAAATGTCACAAAATAATATTCTAGGGTGAGATTCTCCAATTCATTTTAAGAAATGTGTCCTTTTTGGGATTCGGCCCCGCCCCATTCTCTCTCCAACGTCTCTCAAATGCATATTATTCATAGCGGCAAAAGTGTTGTCAACAATTATTAATAAATATATTACATGTATATTATTATCCGTCATAAAACTTAATAATGATGAAATTTGGGCGAAACGAAAATAGAAAGTTTTTCTCTGCTAATAACTTGCATTGGAGAAGACGTAGTTCTAGGGGTCCTGGATCTTGTTTCTCGAAATCTTAACTAAAGATAAAATCCAAATTTTAGTAGATACTTCAATTTTGATTGGCTAAGTACTAAAATCAATTTAATATTATCCAATCAAATTACAAAATTAATATAGAACAGAAATGAATGAAGTGGAGTTTAACGTCCTATAGCCTGCACCAACCATTCTAATAAAAGTTGAAAACGTAACTACTCATTAGGCTTTCACCTTTGGTGAAAGACTGTTGTTATTACTAAGATTATTATTATTATTATTTTTTATTGGGGGAGCTTATTCCTCAGCAACTATAAGAGATAAGGCTCTGGAATTTGATTTTCTGCCGGAAAAGTGGTATGCAGCTACTCCTTAAGCTATTTCGAGATTTCTCAATCGATTTTTCAGATACATTGTATTTACATTTTTGGATAGCGGGAGACATTTCCTAGCAGATAGCAGTTCAAAAACGTCGAATTTAGAAACTTTGTCGCTCTCATTTTTTTGGTGAAAATTGGAAAATTTGGAAACGTTATATTTTTTTTAAATTTAGAAATTCTAATTACATTTTTGGATAGCTTACTCCCATCCGATTCCAACGATATAAGATTTTTGTGTGAAATATTAAATTTGATTTTTCATTTTTTTTCGCATTTTATACAAATATTGCAAGGCTTATTTATTTTTTAAAACGGCTCCAACTATTTTTCTGAAATTTCTGGGCCCTTATTCACGAAAACTTAAACTAAGTTACAACCGAAATTTTAAGAAATACTGCAACTTCATTGGATATATGCAAATTGATTTTACTGGTCAGCCAATCGAATTCCAGTATTTCTTAAAATTTCGATTGTATCTTAGTTTAAGTTTTCGTGAATAAGGGCCCAGAAATATAAAGAAAGATGTCTAAATTGTCCCTTGATCTTTAAATGAAAATGCTCTAATTACCGAAAGTGGTCAAGAAAAGTATCCAAACTTGGGCAAAATTCCGGAAAATGGGTGTTTGTGCGGAAAATACGGTGTATCAATTGTTTGTTTACCATTGTTATATCGTATAATAGCCAATTGAATTGTCTATCAGATGGTACTATGGCGACAAGTTTCTATTACAAACTAAAAACGTTATGGGTCTTTGAAAAGTACCACACAGGCACATAGGGAGGTCTGAGAAGAAATTTTTGAAAAAATTGGTTTTTGTCCAATATCTTGTGGAAATCTTGTTGTGAAAAGATCCACGCAAATGCTTCCACAAATTACACTTACAAGATAATAGAATAAACTATCACTTTTCCATCAAAAAAAAAATAGACAATTCCAAATGCCCCCATTTGTTTAAACGGATTAATATTGGGCTTAAACGAAATAATGAATATGACGTATTATTTCCAAAATGAAATAAGTAATTCGTTTTAACGTAAAATTAATTAATTATAACCAATAAATTATCGTTTAAACGAGTAAAAAATTTCGTTTAAAAGAACATTTTTTTTTTGTTTAAACGAAATAATAGATTCGTTTAAACCATATAATATATATTCTTTAACACGAAATAATGAATTTGTTAAAACGATATAATGATTTTGGTTTAAACGGATGTTTGGCCTTGAGCTTCCCAGCTCCTTTAGTGGACAACCACGGCCCGACTCATTTATGTCATATACCTAAGCCAATTTATACTAATTCAGTTCATTGCAGTTATCTAATTAACTATAATTGTACATGCATAAATGATATAATCAAATCAGATTATCTCTCGATTTGCATATGGCAGACTACATAACAATGGATGTGGGATAACTTATACATGATTATTTAATTTGACCATTTACATAAATCAGCTCGACTAATTGTATAAACACCTCACAGCTAGAAATCACAGCTGCTTAACATTATGTAACACAAAATAATTAATTCGTTCATATTTCGTTATAACGAATTAATATTTCGTTTAAATGAATTAATATTTCGTTTAAATGAATTAATATAATTAAATAAGAGTTGAATCGTGCAGGAAAAAATTATATGAGTGGAATAGTGCACTTACGGGGCTCCGTACATTATATTTGTCGCATTTGTGCCACCGTAGTAATTTAACATCAACGCCAGGGTAAAAATCACGAACGCATCCCATGTATTTCGGGTTTTGCCTCGGGTTGAAATTGTTTTATGCACGTGGAAAATAACCTATATAAGGAAATGTCAATCACATTTGTATTTCTTCTCAAAATCAAAATGAATACCATTACTATTAAAGACCTATTAGCGCTTGAGATTGATACACCACCAAGAAAGCCAATTAAATTTGTTGCTTTGTTCGAAAAAAAAAGGAGACGACCGCTGTCAATATGTATATGCCATTGCTGTTGAAACTGCAGCGACTCGTCTTTTTTATAGTGGTAAGCTTAAATTAGATCAGAGCTACTACCTCATTGAATATGTTCTGAACATATCCTATCTCCTACTTGACAACAGGTAAGAAATTGATTCAGCATCTAATTACTTTAGTAACGTAAATTGTGCAAGAAATATGAAAATAAGGCTTTTCCCCCATCTCGGTTTTAATGCTATTTTGGAATCCTTACCGTCTATTTTTCACCGTGATTCTTCTTTGGTC